TCAGATGGGAAGCAACCGGGAGTGCAAATGGCGAAGTATAAGCACTGGATGGGGCTGCCGTTTTCAGGAGCCGCAGCCGTCATGTGGCCAACACATGCTAAGGTTTTCATTCCTCGTTTAGCACATCGTAAGCTAATGCAGTTTCGTTTATGTTGCTGGGCTCTGGAGGCAAACAGATCACGAAGGGGCAAGTACCATGTCCCCAGGGGGCAGCGGTTTTGCCGCTGTTGTGGTGCTAATAGCCGAATCGAGGATGAAAAACACGTGTTATTGGAATGCCCAGCCTATAATGATATTCGTGCTGAAGAGGGATTCGATCATCAGAGCATGTTGGAGGCCATGAAATGGGAACCAGTACGCCTGGCGAGGATGTTGGAACGTATGTGGGCTCACCGAAACTCAGTTACCCCTTTTGGACGCTAGTCTGGGCTGATGTGCGGTGTTTTTCCTTTTCTCCGTGGCTTTTAGGCGTTGTAGTATTGCCCTTGGGCCTTCGGCTCGTATGGGTAGTCTTACAGGTATGGGGTCACGCACCCCCAACCATGTAACACACACACACACACAGAAAACGAAATGTTGCAACAGGGTTTAGGACGGTTAGAGACACAAAATACATGCACATCTTTAAAGCTGCAAATGTAACCCATCTTTACTGTCATCCCTCAGATCGATTGAGATTGCCCATTTATTGCTCCACTCGCTCGAAAATTTAGCCTTCGCTTGCGCTGCTTGCACCGTATCCCACTGCTAGCGGGCATCTCGCATGCATGTTTTGGCCCTAAGCTGTGCGCAAACTCAAAGAAACATCAAGAACCAGAGTTGATTGTGCAATCTAACATAAGTCCGGTCAACGCGAGAAGTGCCGTAGCTAGGAGGCATGGGTTTTGGGGCCTGAGCGAGCGCTTCGCACACTTCTCCCCCCCCTTTCCCTTCTTCAACCGTGGCGCTGGGCACCACGCTTTCTTGCTCTTCCTAACACTTTTTACACACGCCGCGCAAGTGCATTCTTCAATGACCTTGGAGCTATCTGTAGTGTGAGGCTATAGGACGACACAGCCAATAAATGGTGGTATCGAAGGCACCGATAGAGACAAGCGGTTTGAATAAATAGTCATCAGTGACTCCACTTGGGCCTCGCGCCGAGAAGTCCCGAGTACGACGGGGCGGTGCGATCTCCAGATGCCATAGTTCGCGGGAACTATTCTGGATCGGTTGAACAGACGAACCAGGGACGCGGGTCCCAGCTTTACCTGGATAAAGCCCCCGCCCATACGCTGGTATGGGCTTCCGCATTGAGTAGCGACGACCGGCGGGGAATTGTACACGGCACCAATAATGCTTTAACGGGCTTCCCGCGCGTGATCTTCAAGCCAAATCTACAAACAGATTTGTCAGTGGCGCAGGGTCGCACCGTTCTGACGGCGCGACAGTTGTAGCGGTCAAAAGGGGTGAGAGGGGGAAGAAATAATAATTTGACAGATCCACGGATTTGCACAGCAATTACTGCGACGATCTGCGGTCTCATGCAGCCGCCCGGGCAACAATAATTCGGGGGTGGGGGAGTGCATGAAAAGTCGGGATCTCGACAGACCTGATACTTATTACCCGGCTGATACAGACTTGCGTCTAGGAAAGTATCGAACCCCTATGGACCGCGCTCTGATCAGGGCTTTTGGGAACCGCCGCCTGCAGGTTGAAATACATAATGACAGTAGTTGTCTGCAGCTTCATTTATAGGCTGTACGAGGTTCCTATGTAGCTGCCGCAGGCCACACATGTAGTAGGCTGTCGGCAGTTCTGTCAGCTGCTGTAGTACAGGCCACTTAGCCAAAGTGTACGGCATTATTGTACAATTATTGCGGGAGATATACATGGGCTCCAACATGCCCATGGGGCTCGGGGAGACGTCCTGGTTTTACCATGGACGATCAGTACGACAATAGCGTACTGCGCTATACCTGCATTTTACTGAGATAAACTCGCTTCTGCCTAAAGTGCTACTCACCAGTCTCCAAAATGCACGGGGAATAAGTTGCAAAAGGTATAAAACAGCAGACGCAAATCAGCACTGCTGATTCAGCAGGTGGTCAATTAGTTGCTGTAGAAATATTAACCATTGCTGTTGGACAGACAGTGGGAAACCAGCTGGAGATATGATCCTTTGTGAGATCCCTCTGTAAGGCTTACACCTACAGTAGGTAGGTGTCTGGAGCCCACTGTAACAACCACACACCATACAGTAGGTTATTGCTTATGCATGCTGCTGATTCCGCTGCAATTGTAATTGCAGTGGCAGTCGCAGTGGCAGTGAGCAGCTTTGCAGCCTGAAGCTTTATGAGTTCGTCACTGAATTTCTAGCTCTTGTTCGTTATCCTGAACGCACGAAAGGCTAGATAAGATACAGCGCAGCAGGATGCCAAACTCGGAGCAGCAAGGTTGCGGCACGTCCTGTGACTAGACGTGGAAATTCGGGCCTGAAGAAATTCAAGACTCGTCGCTGCTGATGGTACTTATGTGACTTATGTGACTTAGAATCCTTATGTTACTTATAACCCTATCTATGTCCTTACAAGGTCGCCCGTCGGGGCCTTAGCCACGGCGGTTGAGTTGTACAAAGCCGGGCAAGATTCGAAAGCTTTGTTTGATTATATGTGTGTTCCACCACTCCAAGTATTATTGTGCTCAACGAGATCTTGCGCTTTAGGGCGAAGGGCGAGTTGGTTCACAGTCTCATCCTAACACGATAACGTCAACCTTATGAGTTATTGGAATCAATTCAAGCGGATCAAGCAATTAATTATCAGGTTTTTTTACATTTAACATGGGGTAAACCATCAGCGATAACTTTTAAAGTGGCCCTGGACAGTTCGCTATTTTAAACAATGTGCCGCGACACACATATTTACCCCATTAATTGATGCTATTGAATAGAGTAATTAAATTTCTACTAGATCCGGTTGCTAGAATATATGTTCTTGATAGAGGCAGGCAGCCAGGCCAGGCAGGCATACAGGCCAGGGGCGAACACGGGGCCTTCAGGCCCACAAAAGCCCCACCTCGGCAAACAATTCGACCAAACTAGTAGATAAGGCATACATAATTTCCATTGAATCTACATCGTTTTCTTTTTCTACTTCGCTACACAGCAATCTCTACGCTGAAGTTTTGGCTAGCAGTGCAACTCATGCAATCCTTTCCGAAAGGTTCATACTGAAGCCCAATAGTTTGATAATATAGGGCATTACATTCGTGACTGCGCTTACAGCAAGCTTAAGTTCGAAAATTTTCACTGCTTGTGTGACGATCCCGACTGCCTGCGGTAAACATGATGTGCCCAAACCTCCTCCTAGTTGCGGGGTTGATTCTGACAGCTCACATCTTGAGTGCTGATGCTGGCCGCGACCTTCTTTCCAAAGGTAGAAACTTGGCCTTGGATGTCTGTAGCGATGTGGGAGCCCACAACCGCCTATTCGCTGTACAAATGGAGCACACAACGTTATGCAATTCTCGACCCTACATTCACATTATCCAAATGATAGAATCCCCATGGCATGCTAATCGTCGTTTTGCTCGTCAAAACCGTGAAGCCGGTTGAAACTTCGCTTAACCGCCTACCGCAGGTCAAGCCAAGCATCAACTGCGAGGCGATAGCAAGACTTCCGTTAAAAGGGAATCTTCATCCCAGGAGGATACTGCCGCGGTGACGGCGTTGGGCTCAGCCAAGAGTGCCGAGAAGGAGTTGACGTTGCAAGGTGTGTTCACGTCGGTCGGGAACATGATACATCTTTAGGCCTGACTTCAAAGACCAAACCATAATATTCCCACTGTAAACATTTATTAACATCGGGCGCAAGCTTAAGCAGCAGATGTAATACAACTTCGATAATTGACTAGAGCTGGCCATGCGGTCTAGTTCGGCAGCTGAGCCTCATTGCTAACTCGGTGCTCGTCATGAATATCTCCTGGCATCCGATCCTTCTCGTTCCCAAGAGCACATGTATACTCCTCGCCTTCCTGCGGGCCCCTTCCAAATCCGTCCCACCCGCACCACGTTCTACTCCGGTATCACATCCACAGGCTAGCTCGCTACCGATTCCGTAAACAGACGGCTTTCCCCCTTCCGGTCTCTTTCCGGCTCATCTGGGCGCGAGGCTGTACACGCCACCCCCTCCCTACTGCTCTCCATACCTTCCTTACCTCCCCCTCCAATACGTCCCTCTCCTCCACTCCCTGCCGATGGCCCCCCCCTCACGCACATGCCCCAACAGTTGCTCCCTGGCTGCTTCCCGCCGAGCTGCTTCCCGGGGTCGCCTATTTTGACGCGGAGTCGGGCGTGACGGTGCGTAATGGAGACGAGGAGGCCCAGATTGCCGCCACCTGGGCTGATGTGTTTGCCTCGCGCCGGCCCTGCAACACCATGCAGCTCGAGGGCCGCTGCAGGCTGCTGCGGCAAGGAGGAGCTCCCGCCGCCGTCTCTTTCGACGGCACCTCCTGCACTGTGACCCTGGACGATTACCTTAGCCTGGAGCCTGCCTGGGAGGCGGCGTTTTGGAGCCCGGACTTCACGGCCGTGTGGGTCATGATGCAAGCGGAGGATGCCAGGCCCAAGGCCTTTAGCTTTGAAGGCATGCTGCAATGCGCGGTGGAGGACAACGCTTCTGCTGCCTCCTCCGGCCGCGGCCTGCCCCCACTTCCAAGCAAGCAGTGGACGATGGAGGTCCTTTCCAAGAGCACTGATGAGGCCACCGGCGTCGTAACGCAAAAGTACTTTCGGTACAGCCAGGCGGGCCTTATGAGCTCTCAACGGCTTCGTCAGGGCCCCTGCGGCGTCCTCCTGCCGCCGAGCGGGCTCAAGTCGTTTGCCGGTGACGTTGCTGTCGTACTGTTGTACGACAGGGCTGTTGAGGAATCGGAGGTCCGCGACCTTGCAACGTTTTACGGGTCACGCTTCGGCTGGCGGCAGGAGCTTCAACAAGCGCAGCGGTAGCTTTAGGGTTTGAGGATGTGTGAGGTGTGCGCACTCTGGTTGGGTTGGGGGTCTTCAAGCCAGATTTTATTTCGCAGGCGGTGCAGCTTTCCCTGATTGTTTGTATGTCGGAGGTTTTCCTGGTCTGCTCACTCTCACTCCATCGCTTCGTACTCGCAACAATGTATGTATGGGATCCCATCATGGAACATACGGGAATATGCATGGCATGTGCGGCGGGTCGCCGTGAATGACGACTGATAAGTTGCTAAAGTTGCTAATAATGTGCGTTGCTTGCACTGCATTGCATGACGCCATCTCTCTGTTGTGCTTTTTGCGTGCGTGTGTGATTTTTGTGTGGTCTTTGTGTGAGTGCTTCCTCCCTGCGCGTGTATCTTCGTTTGCTGGGGGTTTGTCCGTATGTGTGTACGTGTGTAACTAAGTACTTAGAGGGAACCCGGCCAGTATTCCAGTGTGCCTTTATTACGCGTATAGGACTACTGGACTTTCTGAGCCACGACAGTACGTGCGAATAGTTGCGTGAAGTGTGTGAGAGAAAGAGAGGGGGGGGGAAATGAATGCCCAGCAGGGGGAGATGCGGTGCGTATGGGATCAATTGATAGGCGCCCTGTGGTCTCCGCGCGGTGGGGTAGTAGGGTAGTAGTTGGCAGAGTTGACGTCCTTATGTCGGAGTTGTGGTACTCGCTGGGACCTGAGTGCTGGGGGCAAAGTTGGGGAATTTGGTCACCGCAGTGTACGACATACGGCTTGTGGAGCGTGCTGACGATTGTACATATTATTACGCACTCGACGGCCACGTTGTTAGAGAGGGATTAGATGAGGGATGTGTAGATGATGACAGATATAGCGCATACAGAGTGAATACAGAGCGTTTAGCTGCAATAGTGATCTCAGTCGTGCATGTGCATGTGTATGTCGCGCAGCGTGCCGTACAGAATTGGTTAGGGGCAGCGGTTACCGCCATTACAGCGGTTCTCAAGTGCGACTTAATTTGGGTAGTAGAGTGTGCTTATCGGAGCGCAGGGTAATTATTTCAGATGCTCATCATCAATCCGCTTCTCTGCGTTTCGTTCTTACGCCTTTTAAGTCTTTTACCTCTTAGCTTAGCGTTACGTTATCCACCGTCGGTAATCCAGAGCCATACAAGTGGTCACCTCATCCCATGCGGGATTGCAAGGTTCGCCTTGGCTTACACTTACACTGGCTCGGACTTATTGCTCCGGGTTGTACATACATACATACGGTTATACTCGTGGCAGGATTGCATTTAGGCGGATTTACGTTAGGGTTGCAACTGTCTGCCTTATGGAAAGGCCTCGATTTGTAACAAGGAATTCGTACTATTCGTACACGTCCTTTGGGGTTGGCTCGCCACCGGATGACGTGCGCTCCGTTGGCGACTCTTGGAAATAGAACAGCTATGATCAGAAGATGACGACAGCGCGGTAATGTACATGTTTCTGTGATAATCCAACGAAACGGAGCACGCGATGGCTTTTCCCAATTCACGTACCCGAATGCGAGATGCGATCACGGAACACTTAGGGTCATTTTACAGCTAGAAGCACCTTAAAGATCTTGAACAGCTGTTCCACGGGCCCTATCTATCGAATTAGTGCTCCGGAACCATTGGAGGTGCCTGCCTCGGCGCCGTGTGGGCGCTTCAGGGGGGCCATGGGGGCTCCATTGACATTAAATAAAGAATTCCAGGCTCCTGCTTTGAGACCTTTCGGAACATGGGATCCTTCCCCAAACCAGATCCTTCCATGCCTGCCTGTCTGTCTGTTTGTCTGTCTATCCGTCTGTCTTTGGAGAAATCGCACTGCTTTTTTCGTTTAAGTCACGCCGCAAGCTTACCTTGTGGAAAAAGCAAAAAACCTCTTTGATACCTTAAATTAACTGCCGAGGTTACTAGCTGAGGTTAGTCTTGTCTGTTATGGGGTCGTGAGATGGTTTTCGTAAGGGAATGACTTTCCGTTTTTGGACAAGTAACGAGGCAGATGCAATGCGAGTACAGACGATGCGTGTATGGCTGACCGTGGCGGGTTATGATAGCTGCTCCAGTATTTTTTGCCCGGTAGGCAATGCCCACACACAGCGTGACCTCATTACATTACGTTTAACCTTTACAGCGTTTGGCTTTCGTGTACTGGCCGGAGGACTGGCAGATAGTACGGCAGTACGGCATTGTGCGATAAACGAAGGTGACATGTTGTTTCCTCGCAGGGCCCCTTGTCACGTTAAATCCCATCCGTGACTGCCATGATGCGCGTGAGAGGAGTTGCGTCTCTGCATATAGCCTTAGAAGTGTGATGAGGGCGAAAAGCTTTTAAAAGAGACAATAGCCCGTCCAACCGGTCTGCACCGTTGCGCGTGAAATGCTTTTCAGATGCTTTTTATATTAGAGAGGTTTCCAGAATTGCTTGCTTGGGGGCTGACGTTTGATTGCTTCGGTGTTAAAGTTTCCTCCGTGGGCGGATCTCAGTCGCAGACATCGGCAAACGCTTCGGGCGTTTCGGGTCGTACCGAAACTCCCGAAACCAGAAATAAAGTTCCCAAAGCCGGCCGGCTTGCAGAAATAGGATCATACGCCGTATACGAAAGGTGTTGTGCGGCCTGAAGGGCCGCCCGACGACCTAAGTCCGCGGTCAATTATGAAGAACAGGTCGCGGGCCATTGTACTGGAAGACAGAAATAGACCAGTTCCCGAGACCAGAAATACCCCGGTTGCCAATGTCTGCTCAGTTGTTCTGGCCTTTGCGGCTAGTTGGTTGTACGTCATTTCTAACCGACCTAACCGTTGTTTTGAACCCTAGTTTCGACTATTCTCTACTGCCAAACATTGTATTCCAGTTTTTGATAGGAAAGAATTGAAAATTTATTACCTTATCGACTTTTGGCCTGTGCGTTCATCTACATCACGTCATATGATGGCATTTACAAATCTATAACTTTTAATTGCCAAAGCTTAATTGCATCTACTCCGAGTTGCGATGGCAGGCAACCTAGAAGGTTTCCGACTTTGGGATGACTGGCTGGATGGCTCGCTCGCGCACTTGCGAAATGCTCAGCTCTTAAGAACGTTAAGGCCAACTGTATGGTGTAACTCTTCATCCGAGGTGCGGACTGTTGAACAAGTCGCCGTGATCAAGTGCTTTGCAATGACGGCCGGAGCTAGTCATGAGTGCGAACGTAGCCGAAATCCTGGTATGAAAAGCCATATGATGGGCCGGCACAGGCTGGTATTGCATCCATACCTGACGTAGCCTTCTTTATCACATCCAGCGTCGAAGCCGGGGTAACGCATGCACGTTATGCAATGCCTCTCACAAAAGGAGAACCCATGTGGACGCCACATAACTTTCTGAACTTCCTGATGATGATGCATGACGTCCTTCAATTGTCCAAAAGCTGTTTCCTGCATGAACGGTATCGCAGAGGCCGTGCCCATGCCCAAGCAGAGCCGCAACACACGCGAAACGAAATTAAGCTTCAGACCGAATTATTTTCGTCTTCCTTCCTTCCTTCCTTCCACTTCCGCTCCTCTCCGTCGAGTGCTCCATGCGTTTTATCACGTGCATTTCCTCTCTCCCCCTTGGTCGGTCGGGTCGGTCGGGTCGGGCGCGTGTTGGGGGGTTGGGAGGAGCAGTTGCATGTCACCAGCAGCTTATTACCAGCAGCCTATCAGCGAGTTCTGGTCCAGCCTCTTCAATGCCGCGGCCAGGCCGGCGGCCTACTTTATACCAGCTCACGTCATCCCTTTCTCTTTTCACGTCACGGTTTTACTACTCTTTCGCCATCGTTACACGTACCTTAGTATTTCACGGCTTGGCTCTACTGCTCTTCTTCCGGTCTTATTTTAGTCTTGGCGGCTAGGTAGGTAGTTTTCCGCTGTCGCCATGACTACTAACATCATCCCGAGGACGGCTTCTTGGCCCCAACCGCCGACTGGTTAGTTCTGCCTTTCTTCACATCCGCCGCAGCAGTCTTTCCTTCTGGCATCAGCTTCACTCGCTCGTGGGGTTCGTCTTTACCCCTTCCTCACCCAGGAATTCCAATAATGAAGAAACTCAACCTCACCATCAGAGAGTAACCCGCTCGTCCCATGAAAAATCCCCACACCGTCCCGCGCAGCGCAAACACCGCTAGTCCCACGTAAATCGTCCCACGCAAACACCCCTGCCGTGCCTTGCCGTCTCATTTTGCCTCTGGATTTTCAATATCCCCATGCCGTCACCCATCCCTATGTTCCCCCTTCACGCCGCTTCTTTTTTAGGGTTTAGGGTTTGCTGCTCAAAAGCGGCTGGGACGGTGGGCAGGGAGGATGCGGGAGGAAGAAGCCGTTAACGTATTTGCTGGTGTCGTCGTTAGTCATTATGTTTGCAACTAACTCCCCAATTGGTTGCAACCAACTTTCCAACTAACTCCCCTTCGGGCGCCCCCTCCTCTCTCCCCCCGTTGGGCTCAGGCGCTCGTACATCACGCGGATCTGGCCGCCTGGGTCTCCGGTCAGGAACCTGTTGTACGACATTACGATCATTGTGCCAACACCGTTGGTGCCGCAACTGCCGTACCACTCCGTCGTGCTGATATCACCGATGATGTGTCGAGTGTACGACGGTACGACAGTGATAGGTGCAGCAGCTGCGACGGTGGTCGTGGCGGTGGCGGCGGCGGCGGCGGCTGTGCTGCCGTTGGGGATTTCAACGGAGCGAGTTCCCCGTCTGCCTCTGCCCCTATCCGCGAGGGGGGTGTTGGCGATGTGGGGGGCGGTAGGGGAGGCGGTTACCCGCAGTCGCGCGAGGCGCTGGTGCGAGTTCGTCTCTTTTCTTTAAACGACTACCTAGGACTTGCCTCGCATCCTGAGGTGGCGGAAGCAGCGGCCAGAGCGGCTAAACAGGTACGTCTCCGTACTGTCGTACTGCCGTATTTGAACGTTCTGATAGGTACTACGTCTCTTCCAGCAGCCAGGAGACCAGCCGGCAGGTAGGTAGGCGAGGTGCGGTACTGAAGTTCTACCGGCGAATTGCGCTTTGGTCTTCTCCGTTAGGTTTTGTGCTTGTGATTGTTTTGGAGGTTACGGACGGTTTCCTAAACAAGATATGTCACCTGATGCCCCACTCCCCCTTGCGGAATGTGCTGCTGCTGCTGCTGCTGCTGCTGCTGCTGCTGCTGCTGCTGCTCTCCCTGCTTCCCCGGGGCGCTCCCCCGGCCCTTACTTCCACCTCCCCACCTTTCTCCGTCTCCCTGGCCCGCTGCCCCCCTCCCCGCCGCATGTCGTACAATGTCGTACTGTACGACAACGGCATGATAGGTGGGCATGGGCCCTCGCAGTAGCGCTCTTGTGGCGGGTTATACACACAGCCATCGGCAGCTTGAGGAGGGGCTGGCGGAGTTGAAGGTGAGGAGGGAAACACGGGGGGAAGAGAGGGGAGAGAGGTTTAAATTCATGCGTGTGAGACATTGTATGTATGTCTGTGTTGACATGCACTCTCCTCGCCAACCCCGTGACGGGGAAGACGTCGGCAGCTGAAATTTTTTCGTGTGTGTGTGTGTGTTTCTTGGTTATCGTACAATTGACAACCCGCCGGGGCCGCCTCCCCCTCCCTTCGTCCCGATTTCCTCAAACACGCTTACATACATACACACATACATACACACATACGTACACACGTCAGGGGACACAGGACTGCCTTCTTTTCCCAACGGGTTTCGCCGCGAACCTGGCGGTGATGACGTCATTGTCGTACGCAGCTCCTCCAACGTCAGGAACGGATGGCAGCAGCAGCAGCAGTAGCAGTCTGGCGATATTCAGCGACGAGCTCAACCACGCGTCTATTATTGACGGTGCACGATTAGCTTCTAGAAGTGCTGGCAGCGGGGGGGGAGGCGGCGGCGGTGCCGTACAACTTCATGTGTATCGTCACAACGACCTGGGCCACCTGGAGGTAGGTTGGTTTGTTGGTGGTTTGTTGGTAGGTAGTTGGCATTTTTTTGGTTGGGTTGCGTGACTTGCTAAGTACGTAAATATAAACGCACATACACACACACAAGCGCACGAGGTCTGTCACTCCTCGCCTATTATTGCCGTACACGTTTCTACAACGGAATGTCGCCCCGGCCTCTCTCCCCATCCACCCGCCTAAGCACATACACACGCATTAGCACATGCGCTTACATGCCTACTAACGTACATACATACGCACATACACGCACGCAGGAGCTCCTTGCGGCAAGCCCCCCTGGAGTACGGCGGCTTGTGGTTACGGACAGCTTGTTTTCCATGGACGGTGACTTCGCGGACTTGCGGGTAAGGGGGGCGGGGGGGGGGAGAGGGGAAATGGGTATTTTGATGTTTGTGTGTATATGTGTATGTGTGACTGTATTTATGTCTATGTAGCAGTCGTGGCGGAAGCGATCACCTGTGGTTATGCCAGGTGCTCATACACGGGGAGGGGCCCTTTGTGGTTCACATCGCCTTCTTACACGCCGAGTGTGAGTGTGGGGGGGAAGGAGGAGGTCGTACACCCCCCTTAACTCCGGGCTTTACTCCGAAACCACGGAGGGGGGGATCGACGTGACATCACACACCGCCTAGGACTCACTCACTCACTTGGAGCAGTTTCGGATTTTTGGACGCCATCCGGCAGGCGGCTCATTTCTCTGATTTCCTTGCAGCATACGATTTCTCCCCCCTACCAACACCAACACCAACACCAGCACCAACAGTTAGTAATTAAGAACGTGTTTTACGGTTTTTTCCGCATCCTGGGCCCCCCGCCCGACTCAACCCCCCTCCCGCTTTCTTACAGTGTTGTCATGTTGCTCACACGACACGCGGCTCATGACACGGCGCCCCGTCCCTCTCTTTCGCGCGCCCCCCCTTCCCGCCCGTGTCGCACCCCCCAGGGCCTCGCAGCCCTCCGTCGGCGGCACCCGTTCCTACTGGCGGTGGACGAGGCGCACGGCACCCTGGTTTGCGGGGAAGGGGGAGGGGGAGCGGCGGAGGCGACGGGAGTGGCGGACCAGGCACGTGGGCCGCTGCTGAGGTGCAGTGGTGGTGTTAGGGGTTTTAGGAGCTGTCCTTGTGGGAGGGGTGGTGAGGGAGTTTGAGGAGCTGACGTGGCGGTCCGGTCGCCCTGTCCTGTATTGGCTTTTGCCTCGGCAGCTACCTTGGCAGGAACTGCCAGCCTGCTGCAATGATGCTGCTGTTGCCGCGGCTAGCCTTCAACTGCTGCTCAGTGCTACTGCTACTGCCGCTGATATCCATGTTCCCCTTCATCTTGTGCCGTACCTTTCCTACATCCCCTTCCGGGGGCCCCCACACAAATAAAACCAATGCCCGTAGGTCGACTTGCACATCGGCACGTTGTCGAAGGCGTTTGGCGCCCTGGGGGGATTCGTGGCCTGCAGTGGGCCCATGAAGCAACTGCTGCTCAACCGGGGTCGGGCGTTTGTGTACTCCACCTCCTTGCCGGTGCCCATCGTGGAGGCGGCGGCGGCGGCGCTTCGGGTTAGCAAACGGTGCGTGTGTGTGGTGGGGAGAGGGGAAAAGATGGGGAGGAAGTGCGCATGTATGTATGTATGTATGTATGTATGTATGTATGTATGTATGTATGTATGTATGTATGTATGACGTTGATTACAATGTGGGCTGAAGCCGGGGGCCCAGGGGGCCCAGGGCCGAAACACAGCGGGGGGGCCGGATGCACATGGCCGGTTAGTCTCGTGCACTCCACTCCCGGGTCAGGCCGCACGGGAAACGACGGCCGGCACACAACAGCGCTCTCCTCCTGGGGTTGGCGCTCCAGATAGACGGGTACTGTGCCCGCTGGTCTTCTAACAAAAAACGGAGTCGCAACCGCCAATGGGGCTCTTCCTAGAGGCGTAAAGCACCGAAAACCTCAGAAAGCTCGCAACCAGGACCTGGGCGACCGGGAGCCCGACGAGTCATCCCGGGCTGGGGAGGTCACCAAGCTCCAAAAACCTCACACGAAAAGAGCGCAAAGAGCTCACACCACAAGACGCCAAACAGCCTCCTGAGACTACTACCCTCCTCCGCCTCTCCCTCCCCGGGCTAGGCCAGGGGAGATAGCAGCCGTCGGGGGGATAACACCGCACAAGCACACGCCCTTCCACAGCAGTGGGTCCAACTCGAAAAGTACTCGAACGGGAAAACCCTGCAGCGACGCCGGGCGATCAAGCTCCCGAAAAGCAGGGGGGGGGAGGGTAGCCAGCTCGGCACCCCCCCGTACCGCTCTACCAAGACGGCTGGTTCCCAAGACTCTATCTCACGTATACCTCGCAACACACGGAACCCGGCCTCGTACCCCGACGGCCTAGTCCTGGACCACGCGCGCACCTCCGAGTACGGCCCCACCTGGTGCCCACCTCCCCCTCATCCGCGCCCTCGCTGCGGCCACCTGCTTCCTCTTACCACCCCTCAACCCTACATCCTCTTGGTGCTCTCTCTGCCTCTTCCCCTCCCCTCCCCTCCCGGGCTCTCCCCGCCCTTTCCCCGGTCTCCCCAGTCCTCTCGGCCCCTCGGCCTCTGTCCCTCCACTCCGCCGGCACGGCGCCCTCAGACACACAAACCCTCCCTCCCCAATCCCCCCCTTGCGCGACTCCCCGCCAACCCCCGTCCCTGCTGTACGTATGTATGACGTTGATTACACTGATGTATGTATGTATGTATGTATGTATGTATGTATGTATGTATGTATGTATGTATGTATGTATGTATGTATGTATGTATGTTGGAAATGACCGACACTCATATACCAGTGAATGGTAGCCACAGTAATAGGACCCAACGGGGGTCCGGCGCTTTGCTGGTCTTAACAGGTTATGAGCCCCGAATGGCGCATTGCGCTGCTGAGAGATCGCCGGATCGATACCCACTGGCTGTTGCCCAGAGAATGGGAGACCGGGATGAGGCAAGGGAAGGCCCGTAGCGAGAGAGTGTCGCTCACGGGGGGGTGTTGTAAATGACCGACACTCATATACCAGTGAATGGTAGCCACAGTAATAGGACCCAACGGGGGTCCGGCGCTTTGCTGGTCTTAACAATGTATGTATGTATGTATGTAACTTTTAGCCACGTTAAGGAGTTGGTGTGTGTGTGGTTGTTACAGTGGGCTCCAGACTCACGAAGAGTAGAGCCAGCGGGCCAGCTGGCCGTGCACTGCACTAGAGACTAATATACAAACTAAACAATTACCCAGATGAGACAAGTAATGGCAATTAGCCAGTCAAACAAGCGACGAAAGGGAAGGCTGGTGTGTGTGCCGGGGTGTCGGGGTGCGTGTGTGTTTCGGAGTGAGGAGGGGGGGAATGCTATATGGATATTGGGGGGGGGGGGGTAAAGGCAAATTCGGTAGAGGAAAGAGGGCAGAGGGAGAGATATCAACACATCATCAGTGGGGGGTCCTGGGGTACGCACACATTCGCACCACAGACTCACTCACACACACACAAGTGCTGTAGAGTGGTTCACATATAGATTGACTGAATTAATCCAGATATTCTTTACACAAGGACTACCCCAGGGGGCGAGGGGGAGGCATTTCATAACAACCGCTATCAGAACCACCATCAGGACCACTATCGCCCCCATCTGCAGGGAATCCTGGCGTCGTACACACGTGTGGTCGCTTGTACGGCGGCTCGGTTCAGGACTAGGGGTCCCTGCCCTAAGTCCGGTAGTACCGTTGGTGGTTGGGCCCGAGGGTCCCACCCTGGAGCTGTCTTCCATGTTGCTCCAGGAGGGCCTTATGCACGTGCCCGCCATCCGACCGCCCACAGTACCGCCGGGAACGTGCAGGTGCGTCTGTACGTCTGTACAGGAGGAAATGCTGCAGGTTAGGATATCACATGAGCAACGTTTGGATGGAAGGATGACCAGCGGATGCTATAAGTTGAAGGGAGGGGTAGTTAGGAGTTGTAAGGAGTCGTTACGTATGATATATGATACATATGAACTGAACAACTAACATTGCGGCGCCAGGACATTGCGGTTGGCGTTCTTTTCTCCTGCAGCCCGTTGCTGTTTTCACAACCGCACAGCTCTACATGGCATTTGTCTTCACTGCAACTTTGGTGTTCCGTATAGAACCCGCTGGCTCTTGCTGCGTTCGTAATGTGTACCTGCTCGTCCAAATATGTACTGCTTGAACGTCTGACACAAAATGGTTTTAGTCCGCCTCCTATCATTAGAGGGGTACAAACTTCTGCACCTGTAATGCCGTACCACCCCCTCATATCCCCACACCTCAAACTGCCCTGCAGGCTACGAGTCAGCCTCTCCGCAGCCCACTCGTACGAAGATGTGGACGAGCTGATCCGACTCGTACGGCGGTCCGGTGTAGTGTTGGCACGTCTACCGCATCTTCTCGATCCACGTGCTGCATTACCACCCTGTCGTACACAAAGCGATGGCGGTGATGGTCCTGGCAGTAGTGCTGGCTTGTACGGCAACGGCTTGGAGCGCGATGGGCCGTACAGTCGGTTGTGAAGTGCTGTTGCCGCAGCCCGGTGTCGTATACACGCATTCGTACACGTGTGGTACAGATTAACACGTGCTATCATTACACCTATCCGTTTCGCAGTATGTTAGGTTTAGACATTTTGTCTAGCAGATTGATGTACACGAATACGCACAAGTGCGCCTGCATGTATGTTTGTGTTGGGTAGGTTGTGTGTGTGTGTGTCTACTACTCGTTCAGCTTCACCCACGAGTGGCCGCTGGACCGCTGGCCGTCATCTCCCTGCTATACCCCCCTTCCCCGGTTCTATGTCCCCCCCCCCGGGGGCACCCTCTCATCCCGCTGCTCAACCACGTGCGAGTGCCGACATCTGCCGAGTCCATTAGCGACGTTTTCGGGTTCAAAACGAGCCTGTTATGGTCTAGGGATATTAGTCCCGCTCGCTGTCGGGTTCGGTTCCGGAATCTTCCCGAGACATTTCGCCGCACCCTTACATACCTGTTGCGTCGGGACGTGTATGTATGTATATGTATATCTATGCATGTAAAAATGCGTGTACGTATGTATGTATATATGTATATCTCCGTTACACATTCGCTTGCAGTTCGTCATGTACGGCATCAACCGCCTTAACGGCATCACTGGACAAACCACAGATGCGCGGCAGACGCTACGTCACAACTGATTACTTGCATCCGACCTAATGCTCCGAAGGAACCAGAAGCTAGTAGTCGAATCGTAAAGTTACAGAATGTGATGTCACGCGCGCATCATGGCAGAATTCTGTACTGACGGCACACATACAGTGTTCACGCAAAAAAATGAAATAAAGAATCCCGTGCAATGGTTCATTCCTGAACCCTGCAGGGGCTACAGCGAAAGGAAGATCCCACCAAAAAGATCCGTAACAGGTTCAGCTGCAATGGCGGCGGCGTCGAATGGCAAGCAATAAGTATAAACAGGTAGGATGGACATCCGGAAGGAGTCCACAAAAACATTAAGCGGCACGGCAGAAGATGCCGCAGAGGGGGACACGGCATTCGGTTATTTCAAACCTGCGAAAAGACATACATTTTTGCAGCATAACATCTAATTGGACGCGCTCTTACAACCGAACAACAACGAACTTCTATCAACTACCCCAGCAACCAAGCAAAAGTGTAGTACCCGGGTGTCATGTACACCCGAAGGTCGTTCCCTTTGACCAACGAATCCATAAAATCGACCCGCGACCTGATCGCTGTCTCATATATAAGGTAACACCCACACACCCCTTCTTATCCACCACCCTTGTTTACGTGGCACGACGGCAGACAGACAGGCAGACAGACAAACAAGTCGAAAAATGAAAGTACAACTGGCGAGGAGCAACCGGGCCGCTCCTCACCAGCCTCAACCACATACACACAAAGGAAGGTGTGTGCGAGGATTGCGCGGGTGCCGCCTCACTGCGTGGGCACCAAAACGCGCATCAGCAGCAAGACTGTCTTGACTCTCTTGTCAACTGTCCTCCAAAACCATTGCCGAAAGTTCTCAACATCGACTCTGTCAAACAACATTAACGAAGGATACATCATCCAGACTTACCACTCACCACAACAACGTAAGACCGACACCGTGGAGCACTCACAAACGCCATCCCACTCCAAAAATGAAAATTATTATTATTCCGTTTCCTAAACGGAACATATAATTGAAACTCCCCGTTCTATAGGGGCAGCTGCCAGCCAAAGCGTGAGCTGTAAAACGTCGCCAGGTCATGTACTTCGGACTCTTCAAGAGCCCTATTGTACAACAGTACGACACTCAATTTCCCAGAAAACAGATCTTGCTCCTCATCAACATCTACACCGACAGCCAACGTCCCCGAAAACGGGTCATGCAAAGCAGAGTCAAACCGCCATACACTTAGCTCACCGGACCGCGGTCCGTACCGGTAGTACGACATTTCGTGTACGGCACTCGCAACACTGGATGTCGCAGACTGTCGACTGACCACCTCCATCGTCCACTGCTTGTAAGGCGGCGGCGGAACCACGCCGCCGTTAATGTCGTACAGTGCAGTCTCGAAGGCGAATGGTGTACGGCTGGTTTCGGAGGAAAGAGATCCCGGGGAATCGACATAGCCGATCCAGATCGCGGTGAAGGCGCCCGAAGGGAAGCTACCTCCCGTAGTAGAGGGCAGGAGGTTCTTCTTCCCGTGACAGGATACACCGTCAAACTGAACGGCGGCAGCGGGGCCGGCATTTGCGGTGGTGACGCCGTCCGTGTCGTCATCGCTTAGTGGCACTGGCTGTAGCAACCTGCACCCGCCCGTGAACCACAATGCGCCGCTCGGCAAATCCGTTTCCATAACGCCATTCCACGCAACCAGCACGTCGCTGTCGTAAAAGAGATCTTCGTACTTGTAAACTCCCGTCTCCGCGTCGAGATACGCAATCTCGGGACGCAGTTCATCAGGAAGCAGCCAAGGAGCGACTGAATTGAGTCGTACACGTACACGTACATTTGTGGGAAGGAAACAAAAGCCTTATTGTCAAGAATGTACGATATGGGAGATACAGAAGGGAGAGGGGATAAGGGGATAACAAGGCAGAAAGAAGAAAACCCTGGCCATGATCACCGTAGCATTGATAATATAGGTCTGGTGTAGGTGATGATGTAAAAAGCGGTATTCCCCTCGTTCCCCTTTACTAGGATAGGGACATCGGTTGTGGGTACGCGGAGATGGTTCAGCGAACGATTGTGCGGAATGTTTTGCACACCAAGACGCTTACATGAACGCCTTGGAATACTTCTATGCACTTTCAGTAATTCAGGATCTTTCATAGTGCGTGGGCTCTAGACAGTGAAGTCCAACGCGAATGCGGGCGACCAGCTGGCGACCATCTGCAGATGCCTCTTGGTGAGTTCCATGTAAAGGCTGACACACCTTGGGACGATGACTCAAACGACGACGAAGATGTTGCTGTTGAAAACTCGGTTATTATCACATCAGTAGAGGAATATACATCTGCAGAGGAACTAATGGCGCCTCCAACCCATTGACCTGCCGGAAGGTAAGAGCGAAAACGAAAGCAGGAGGTTTAAAAGAATTATAAAAACGAAATAAAAACTATTATAAGTGTCTCTATTAGATCTTACGACTTTTTTTGCGACAAATTGACGTTCTGACGATGACTCGGCCTAACTGCAAATGCGGCGTACCATTCATGGAGAGGGACCGGCCGGCATCAGTTATGGATAGTTGAGCCACAAGCAGGAAAGCGATCAAACCGGCGGGAAGGGGCATTTTTTTCCCCGGACCCTCTCTTGAGCAAGCGCTTGAGAATTAGCTCAAAATGGAATGGAAGCTCCTCTTATGAGCGGGAGACTCAAACGTTATTAATTGAGCTGTAGTTTATGCATGAAACATCCAACCATCAAAAACAGAAAGTTGGGATTCGTGGATTTACCGTAGACTTCGCCTACTTGATTTCCTTCGCCCCTATCTAGGCCCTTTCCCTGGTCATTATCTCATTTGGAATGCTCCCTACAGAATTTTGTAAACTGGGACTGATAACGATCTGATTTATGGGTTTCCAGTTCCTTCCGTAAATTTTTAACGCCGGTTTACGGGGTTATAGTTTTCCTTCGTAGGCCCGCCACTACTCGCCACAACTGTAAAACCCCCGGCCAACTAAACTTGAAACACGACTTAGGTGTATTTCCAGTGCGGATTAAGGCCAGGGATTAACCTTCTGTCCTCCATCGGCTAAGTTGAGATAAACGGCTAAGTTGTTGGCACACTTACCTCGCCTTTCCAACCTTTGGTTCCCTTCTGGAACAGAACTATGTGGTAAGCTCGTACCAAGGACTTCCGTGCCCTAATCCCTGGCCTTATCCGCACTGGAAATGCACCCTTAATCATAGCCTGGCCATAAAAGTCAAAGACGCAAGGGGAGGAACGACTCCTCTCCGCTCTATATGCAGGCAAATGTCATATCGTTTCCTGTAACAAGGCTCCCTGGTTGCAAGCATGGCGCGATGCCGATTGGCATCGCGCCATAATCGTGAACCAACCCATCGCCAGGTCAGCGGTTCCTTCGCAAACGTGTCAGATATTGTAGCATCATTCCTTTAGGAAATAGTTTTAAGCACAGCATTGCTGCTCGCAATTCGGAAAGAGCTTTTCCCCAGTGATTTTTAAAGTTTTTGAACGTGGTACCTTTTTAGTGACCAAGTAGGGTTACTGTGGGGGTTTTCCTTGGTAACCACCTTCCAAAAACATTTCCCCAGCGAGTAAGCTGAACAGGAGCCAACTGGATCCGGACATCCGCGGATCCGATCTCACAACGCTCATTCATGGCTTCAAACAGCCAAAACGACGCCTTTATAATGACTGGTTTATGTACGCGGATACATCTACAGAAAGATTTGGCCGGAAATATGTACAGATATAACCCAAACCATGGCTACTCCTCAAACAGCGCACACCGCAGTGTGACGCGTCAAGATTTGTTCTGACTTCATGTTAGTGCCAATTTCTCACTGCCCGTGTTGGTCTGCCCAGCGGTAGGCAGCCGACTCGTTCCAGTGCTGCAGTACTGGTTTGTACGGAAAGCTCGAGACCGTGAACCACGACTGGACCTTCAACCGTACAGCTGCCGCGCTGAGGAGTGGCTGATGCAGGCGGTTCAGCTGCTTGTTCTTGAAGTAGAGCCCATGGCCGAGAAGACACGCCTCCACTGAACCTGGCACCCGCGTCGTGGACAGCTTAGATGGCGAATCGTTTGCCGCACTTATCGGGTGTCACGGCCTGGTCAGTGGCTGGCTCAGTCGTAGCAGCTTTCTGCACCTTACCTACCTTAGGTGTGCACGCCTGCCTTCAGGGACCCCTTCGTTAAGGTACTAGTAATTCGACTTGAGGTTGCTTGTAGACCGGAAATATGCCGCGATGTTCCTTATTTTCCTTGTGCGACGAGGCTTCGCAACCGTGCTTGGGGTCATTTTCAGTATTAAACGTCTCCCGTACTGCACATAGCAGCTCCCTGTTTTCTACCGGCAAAGACTTGTTTTGGAAAAACAAATCATTTTGTTCGTCCTACGGTACCCCATTGCAAAGCTTCATTGCTAAGTTTATTTTTCTCTAGTGCTGCTCATTGTTGGAGGCAGCGATATTCCCGCTGAGCGGGGTAACATCACCTTCACCATCATTTGTCGACGATCACTTCAGCTCACCACAATGGTCGTGCACATTTGCACCTTAAACCAACGACTGTTGCGTACACGGACAGGACCAAATGACATTTCAACCCTATACTTGTGCGTGTTCACGATGCGGCAAAACCGTATCAGTTGTCCTACTTCAAACATTCCTCGCATCAATTTTACATATTATCAAGGTCACAGATTTGCTCAATTCTATGGAGCAAAGACTGCCGCGCAAGTCTGCAAAAAAGGCTGCACAAGTTACGCACCTAAAACTGCAGCTTATTTCCAAAACCAGACAGAAACAATACTTGAAGCCGCAACGCCACCTTAATCGACTTTTACACAACACAATTAACAGCACATCACGGACACCGCATCTCTCTCTCCGCAATGGGTGGCTGTGACCGACCGATGCCATTGGCCAGCAGTACATACACGTCAGTCGTAGCAGTGGACTCTAACCAAGACCCCAGGACTCCACAGCCGTGGGACCTTGCGTCACCTTTTCGTAACGGTGACCACTAAACCCCCACAACACCATCAGTGGTTCGTCTTACCCCCCTACCGTCACATGTTATGGCGTCTACGAACATGTGCATGTGAGCTGTTGCTATTGCTGCTACTGTTATTGGTTTCACTGGGGGACTGGGGCTGCCGTATCGATGACCAGCGGACCCACATTGTCGCCAGTTTCTTTGTTGTGCCTGATCAGCAGGACAGGAGGGGAGCGTGAGGAGAGCGTGAGGAGAACGTGAGGAGGAAACAGGGGAGTGAAGCAAAGGTGTAAAAGGCTACACATCAGCCATTCATTGGCCATGATGATTGATTCGAAGAAAGATAACGGCGTAAGGAAGGAAGGGAGGGGCCCCCAGTAGCGGTGTGAAAAGCCTTATTCGTGTATGCATGTCGTGCTTGCGGTCATGATACATCCCCTTATCCAGCATAGTTAACCCTGGTGCATTTGGGTCAGCCGGACACGTATTCTCCGAAACCCCTGCCTGATAGGTCATCCAAGGCGATACTCACTTCAGATGCGCTCCGTCGCAATAAGGAAACTGCGAGCATGCAGGTCGGAAAGCATGGAGGGCGCGGGAACAGTTTGGAAGGTAACTACGGGTTGTAAAACATGCTTACATCCATATGCGTGGGAGATTGTAAAGGTTTACCATGCCTAAAAATGTCGCATAACATAAGCAGTTTTTTCGGTAAGGGTAGAGGAACTGCTTTCACACCACGATGGATAGGAGGCAAGAATCCCGAATATGCGCCATGTAATACTCTGTTGATTTCATGACGGCTTCCATTCACAGGATAATACCGATGCTGGTTTATGCTAATGCAATTGAAGCTGCAGTTACATACAACGTTGCATAGCGCAAAAGCTGGATACGCCCTGGACTGACCTTTTGCGCCCTCCAGCAGCGGCAAAACACGGCCTATAATTGTAACCGACAGCTGTCAGGACCATAAGGGATTGGCGTGCAATGATCTTTGCTTTACTAGCTAAACAGTACAGTCACGTACCTTGGGCTTAGGAAGCTCAGACACTTTTACAAAATCCGCAACTTTCTCTTCGTTCTTCTTGATGCTCGGGTTAATCGGGCCTTCAGCACGCACAACGATGCTGTGACGACGTGCGCTCACAGCGATGCGGCCCTGCGGGATGGCAGCTGCACGAAAAGTTGCCATTTTACGAGAGTCCAATAAGTTGCTGCAAATGACCCCAATGTTGATATCCAAAGATTTGTTGCGGGTTATGGCCTATTTGTACGCCTGCTCGTCAAGGCCAACCGTTATAACGGCCGCGTAATTTCCAGGTGGAAGCAAATAATGCAATCACCTGCACTGAGTAAGCAAATGGACATTTGAGAAGATCACCTGCAAGGGGATTTGAAACTAACGGAACATAAGGTATGCCTATGGCTAGTTCACAACAGGAAAGACCTTTCCATCCTCGGTCACTTGCTCGCTAGACCCTCTGCGTGAGCCCCTTTAACAGCCAGCTACCCACTCAGCAGCCAGCCGATCCTTGCCCCAGTTTTTCTAGAAGCCGGCGGGCTTGGAGAGATAGCCCAATAACGAAAATGCTATAGCTCCAAAACATATATACAGTAGGCGTGGTAGGTCAGCCTTAGACATCGGCATGCACTGATGAACACGCACACAACTGTTGCACACAAAGCTGCTGCCACTGTTGCTGCTGTCGCTATTGTTGCTGTTGCTGTTGTTGATGGGGTGTTACACTGTGGGCGGCTCGTCCCGAGAAAGGACGAGCACCGGGGCCCCTGACCGGGCCGAAACACAGCGCAGTGGTGGGCGCACGGCTACATCCGTCTGTTCCTCCGCGCGCGCCTCACTCACTCACGCCAGCCGGGGCGCTCTCCCAGCCCCCGGCTACGGCAACACAGCAGCGCAGAATACTGCAAACCGAACTAAGCGAGAGCCGCGCGAGAGGCGCCACACCACCTCCGGGAACCCTAAACAGGCTACCTGCCCCCACTACACCTGGCCAGCCTATTCGTGCGCTCTCTTCCCTCTAGAACACCAAAACAAGGACAAACAGAAAACGTCACCGGGCACAGGGGCTCTACGCAGGGGCTCTACTACACATTCAAAAAAACAGAGGCAGGGGAAGACCTACCCACGCCAGACGCGACCCCGTAAAAGACTCTCCTAGTCAAGGACACCCACGCAGCCAGCAAAGCAAGAGATACACGGAGGACCACGGGCCTGAACCGCCACACCACAAAAGCCGAGACGCGGTTGCACAAAGACGACAAGCACAAAGTGAGCACTCGCACACTGGTCCCAGAAGCCCAGCTGTTCAACTACCACAAACAACGCACACCTACCGAGGGCGGCTGCCACTACCGCACCGGACCACTCACAACCGAGGCAAAAACACTGGTCCCCACGGCAGTCTCCTCCTGGGGGTTGCGGGCTCCCGGGCAAAGCAAAAACACCTATTGCCGGGGGGGGGGGATGACAATTCCGGGGGGGATGACAAGCCAGCACGGCGACCCCCTATAAAGCCCGAAAAAGGCACACCTCACAAAGGGCTGCCTGCTGAGTCTTGTCCGCTTAAATAGCGGGGATGCA